CCACCACCACCACCACCACCACCACCACCACCACCACCACCACCACCGTTTTCAATGCCGCGCTGCCACCGGCATCATCGTCGTCACCTGCTCCTGCCCCTCTCCCCTTGCTCCCTTCGTACAGCCAGTTGCCCCGCACGGGGCAGGCGAGCTTATCGTCTCACCGCTGTCGCGTGCCGCGGCAGCCTTGCTCGCGTGCGCATAGGGGCGACCTCGCCATCGCGCGCCCGCGGGCGCGGCCGAGAGGCCTTGGCCCGCGTGGCGAGCGTGGCGCGCCTATTGGCGATGGCGGTCCTCGTCGTCGTTGTTGTGGTTGTTGTTGAATTTTCATTTCCGAAGAATGATTAGATATTGTTGATCCCCCCCACCGGTGCACATGGGATTTTTTTCAATTGAAGTGCCTTTCCCGGGGCTCGCACCCGGCTTTTCATCAGGGAAAGTCTTGAGGCTCAAACTTGGCCCCTGGCCCCAGGGTTACAACAACAAAGGCTCCCGCCTGAGACTTCCTCACAATTTAGCCCAGACCCCCGCTCCCGCCTGAGACTTCCTCGCATTTTATTCAGGAATCGCGCTCTCGCCTGGGACTCCCTTACAATTTATTCAGTAATCGCTTTCTCGGCGCTCTGGAGTCGCGCCCTCGCTGGAGACTTGCTTGCAATTTACTCAGGAATAGCGCCCTTGCGCGTTGAATTTCCCGCAATTTACTCAAGCGCCGCGCCCCCGACACTCAGGCACCCAGGAGTCGCGCTCACGCTTAGGACTCCCTCACAGATTACTTAGGAATCGGGATCTCGCTGCCCTTCGTGGCCCCGTAGCAGCCCTTCGTGGCCCCCTCGCTGCCCTTCGTGGACCCGTTGCAGCCCTTCGTGGCCCCCTCGCTGCCCTTCGTGGCCCCGATGCAGCCCTTCGTGGCCCCCTCGCTGCCCTTCGTGGCCCCGTTGCAGCCCTTCGTGGCCCCCTCGCTGCCCTTCGTGGCCCCGTTGTAGCCTTTCGTGGCCCCCTCGCTGCCCTTCGTGGCCCCGATGCAGCCCTTCGTGGCTCAATCGCTGCCCTTCATAGCCCCGTTGCGCTCCTTCGTGTCCCCCTCGCTGCCCTGCGTGGCCCCGTTGCTGCCCTTCGTGGCCTCCTCGCTGCCCCTCGTGGCCCCTTTGCACCCCTTCGTGGCCCCCTCGCTGCCCTTCGTGGCCCCGCTGTCGCCCTTCGTGTCCCCCTCGCTGTCCTACGTGGCCCAGTTGCCACCCTCAGTGGCCCCGTCGTTGCCTTCTGTGGCCCCGCATTATCTGCCCTTCGTGGCCCCCGCTCGTTCGTGCTCTTCGTGGCCCCATTCGCATTCCCTTCGTGTCCCCACTGTCGCCCTTCGTGGCCTACTTCGTGCCCTTCGTGGCCCTGCTGTAGTTCGCTCTCTCGCTTTCGGTTTCGCTCGTCGTCGTCGTCGTCGTCGTCGTCGCCGTCGTCGTCGTCGTCGTCGTCGTCGTCGTCGTCGTCGTCGACGTCGTAGTCGTCGACGTCGTCGTCGTGGTCGGTCCCCTGTCCTTCCCTCTTGGGGTCAGGTTGCCGTCGATCAGCGCTGCCGCTGGCCAGGCCGACAGTCCGCGGCCGCCCCGCCGCTCGCCAGGGCCCGGCCAGCAGGGAAGAAAGGTATACCCCCCCAAAGGGGTACGATCGAAGACGAAGAGGGCGGGTATCGAGGGTTTAGGAAATACGCGTTAACGGACACTCGGGCAGATAAGAGCGAACAGTCTTAAAATGGTTGTTGTTGTCGTCGTCGTCGTCGTCGTCGTCGTCGTCGTCGTCGTCGGCGTCGTCGTCGTCGTCGTCGTCGTCGACGATGTTTTCTGGCAACTTGCCGTGTTTTTTTTGAGCTTCCAGGAGGCTTCCCCGTCGCCGCGGCCAGGCCCCCCCCCTGGAGTTCTGGCCAGGACGCCCCCAACGGGGCAGGTTCAGGGGCCGATCTTGAGGGGGGAGAGGAGTGTGATAAGGAGGAGGAGGAGGAGGCGGAGGAGAGAAGGAGGCAGAGTAGCAATCTGTCGTGGTGATATTGATGTTTAGGACAGTGATGGTGATGATGATGATGGTGATGATGATGCTGATGATGCTGCTTTTGATGATGACGACGATGATGATGATGATGATGATGATGATGATGATGATGATGATCATGATGATGATGATGATGATGATGATGATGATGATGATGATGATGATGATGATGATGATGATGATGATGATGATGATGATGATGATCATGATGATCATGATGATTGTGATGTACATTGTGGTGGTGACGATGAGAACCGCGCGCGGGTGCAGCTGCCTCGGGGGCAGGAGTCGCCAGCGCCTCCTTTGAGCGACGTCGCAGAGCACGCCGGCGACGCCGACCAGGACCACGCCTCCAAAGAACATTTGCTCGTGCTGCGGGGCTCCTGGGGGAGCGATTCGGGGTTGCAGCTGTCGCGGGGGCAAGAGTCGCCAGTGCGCGAGGGCGCCCGCCGACTCGATGCGGAGCCGGGCCGTGGGTCTACGCTGGCGACGTCTGGTCAATAAGGCGACTTCCCCAGATATCGAGGACGCGTGGAAGCTTGCAGGGGAGATGCTGGGCGACTGTGGCCTGCAGGAAACAGGCTCCAAGAGGGAACGCTTGAACAGCTCGGCGACCAGGATCCCGGGCTGTTCTACGAGGGCCACGACCAGGTCCTGGGCGAGATCTACAAGAGCATTGCCGAGGACGCCGCGGAGCTGTCCAAGCCCTGCCGCGTCGACCTCGCGGAGGTGCGATGCCCCGAAGACTCCGGCCTGGGCAGGGCTGTGTTGGAACAGGGGGCAAGGCATATCGGTGCGGCCTCTTAAATGGCATGGACATGGCGACTGCGACTGGTCTCCGGCGCGCACTTCATCTGCTCGGGAGCCTCCGACCCCGACGAATGGTCCTGAGGCCGCCTTGCGCCGCGGATTGCCAGATCCAGAACACCAATCACAGGGCCGACCCGCAAAAGGTACAATGCCGGGCGAAGGCGCGCAAGCCGCAAGGCGCGTCGAATCCAGCGGATGATCGCCGATTGCCGCGCAGATCCCGAACGGTCAGCCACGAGTCGGAGCTGGTCGCAATCGCCATCCATCGAGGCAGTGAGGGGGAATATGCGCGAGACCGTGATTCATGGGTGTGCCCATGGCCTCCGCGAGGCGCGGTCCTGCTTCTTGATGAAAAAGGCCTTGCGGATCCGTTCGACCGACCGTGAGTTCAGCGCGAAGCTCGGAAACGCGTGCTCCAGTCGTGCTGGGGGAGGCGACAGTCGCGTCCGCCGGGCCATCGAGGGCGGCCAGGTGGTGACTCAGACCGCGCGCTACCCGCCGGCGCTGTGCAAGGCCTGGGCGAAGCACATCACGCGCGAGAGTGCGAGCGCCAGCTGCGGCGAGGAGATCTACGCGGGCCCGGGGCAGATCCCAGAGGGCGCCGAGGGCGAACGGGAGGCAGCTCTGAAAGATGACCTGCCCCCGGGCGGCCTCGACGACCTGGGCGAGGGCGCGATCGTGAAGGGCCTCGAAATCCTGGGCGCACCGACCAAGAAAGAAGAGTGGACATCGAACCGCGGTTGACGCGACGCCATCGGGACCTCGGATGCCCGAGCAACGAGACGCATTGCAATATCTTCAAGCCCTCAGGAGCCTCAGGTCAGGTGCTCCAGCTGGCACTTTGTCTCCAGAGCCGCGGTTGACGGACGGGCCCGCCCTGCGTCGGTGATCTGGGTCTCCCACGGGAACGCGCCCTTCTGGTGTGCCCCTGAACAGTTGCGAGCTGCCTCGGGGGCGGAGGACATGATCGCCGAGATGCAGCGGCAGTCGAACCTCGGCAAGGCCATGGCGGGGATTTCGGAGGCTGCGAAGGCGTGGACCTACGAGGACCTCCCAGAGCAGGGTCGTCCAGACTTTCGAGACTACGAACGCCCACCGCAACCTGTGTTGGAGATCCCCCGAGACAACGCCGCCGCTGAGGAGCCGCTTATTTCGGCCATGGGTGAGGTGGTCGCTCCCCCTGAGACTGGCAATGCTGCCGCCCGCGCTGCAGTGCCCTCGCGACAGATGCCGCCCAGCTCAGCGACTCAGCTGGGGGGTGGCGGGTCCCCGACCGCGGGTCTCGATCGCCTCCGTCTCGCTCCGAAGAGAGGTCAACGGCGCCGACGCCGCAGGCGGCGTGTGCAGGGGCGACGGCGCCCGCCCGCCTGCTTTCCAGGGCACCGCCACGATCCCGACATGTTGGGGCCCCGTCATCAGCGGCGGGCGTTGCGTCCCGTGGTGATTCCAGCCGATGGCGCATGGCGCGCCGCTGGCCCGAGCTGGATCTACATGTGCCTCCCGAGATGCGACGGGGGGGCCCAGGCGGTGGGGTGGGTGGGTGGGGTGGGGTGGGTGGTGGGTGGGTGGGTGGGTGGGGGGGGGGGGGGCGCTGCAGTGGGCGACGATTCCAATCTCCTGGTCAACCTCTCCACGACAAGCTGGAAATCCTTCTCGGGGGCGGCGAACACCAGACCGCCTACTTCGACTGCCTGGTGGGCGAGAGCACGACGCCCAGCGGGCGGCGCGACCTGAAGAACCACGTCCTGGACAGCGTCGTCGCCAACCAGCGCCGCAAGGACAGCGTGGGGCTCGCGTGGTCAAAGATGAGCCTCAGCGAGCGGAAGGAGCTCGATGGGGCCATCGCCAAGGAAACCAACGACTGGGTCCAACATCAGGGGCTCCGACCCGCCCCCGTCTCTCGGGCTAAGGACGCCGCCGACGTTGTCGGGTTGAGATGGCTTTTCGCGTAGGAAGCGGACGGGAAGGCAAAGGCGCGACTGGTGCTCTTCGGTTGCCGGGCCAAGGAGGTGGGTCAGGAACCGACGGCGAGCCCAACGGCCCCACGACGAGCTCGGGATGTCATGCTCGCAGTGGGTGCATCGAACCACTGGGACGTAATCAAGGGAGACGTGACTTCGGCCTTCCTGCGGGCCCACGAGCTGGGCGAGGACCTCTCGTCGAGTCTGACGCCGTGCTCAAGCGGGCGTTCGACGTGACGGATGGCGAAGTCCTCCAAGTGATGAAGCCAGAGTTTGGTATCGGCGAGACAACCCGCCGCTGTGAGACGGTCAAGAAGGACTTCTCGAAGTTGCGCCCCCGGGCGTGCGAACTGGGGCCCTGCCTTCGGAAAGCCCGCTGTTCCAGGACCGGCCGACCTGATTGGGGTGGCCGTGGCGCGCGTGGATGATTTCACCCTGGCGGGAAACATCTCGCGCCCCGAGTGGCGAGACAAGGTCAAGCAGATCCGGGGGCTCCGCGAGTGGGAGGCCCGGCGGGGCATGAACGAGGGGCTCGCCTCTCTCGATCAGTGCGGCGTCGCGACCGGAGGAAACGAGAATGGCCTCTTCCTTCGCCCGCAGGCGCGCGTCGACAAGATCCAAGGAGTCCGAGCGACGAGCGGGGGCAAACGACGCGTCGCAGACACCCCGGCGGACGCGGATAGACGGTGCTCAGGGCTTTCTGCGAGGGCATCTGTTTGGTAAGCGTGGGCGCCGCGCCATTTCTATTCTCGTGGGTCGCTGACCTCCAGTCGAAGATCCCGACGCGGGCGCATGACCTCTGCGTGGCGGCGAACAACATCGTTGAGCTCTCCAAGCAGAGCCGCCACGTGGGGATGCGGATCAACCGTTGTGCCTTGGGCGACCTGGCCCTCCTCGTCTGGCGCGACGCGGCTTGGGCCGGCCGTCCAGGTGGGCGCTCTCAGGGCGGGCGCGTCGCCGCCGCCGCTTGCAAGGCGGCCAGGGGCGGCAAGCTCTCAGTGTTCGCGGTCCTGGATTGGGGCTTTGGGATGTTGCGGCGCGTGGCCCGGTCGAGCCGCTCTGCGGCTCTGCTGGTGTGCAAGAAGCGAGCGACGCGGAATGCGAACGGTGCATGGTGCGTCTGCGCGTCTGCTCCTCGCGGAGGTGTTGCACAACAAGTTCCCGCTGCGGGATGGCGCGACAGCGCCGCGGATTCTGCCTGCCCTGCTGGTCGTGGACTGCAAGGCCATCCTCGACGGCGTGGCGAGATCTCAGGCTGCCAGGCTGGGGCTCGAGCAGCGACGGGCGGCCGTCGAGGCGCTGGCGCCCCGCGGCGCCCTCGACGAGGGACAGGGGGCAGTGCGCTGTGTGCGTTCCCCATGCGCAGATCGCCGACGGGCTGACCAAGGCCAGTTGGCAGGCCTTTGGTGTGATATGGGCCTTTCTCGAGAAGCAGCAGTGGCGTCTCATCTGCGACGAGCGGTTCATGAGTGTCCGAAAGAGGACCTCCCTCCGCCAGGGCATCTTCGACGAGACGGATCCGGCCGATCCGGCTGCCGCGCGAAGTGCGCTCGAGGAGCGGCGACTAGCGCGCCGGGGCCAGACTGCGGATAGCCTGAAAGGAAACGCAGAGAGCGAGACGAACACTAAGACCAAGACCCCCGACGACTACCTGATCATGATCCAGAAGCTCCAGCAGGAGGTGGACTCCCACCGCAGGTTCATCGAGCAGCACCCTGGTGCGCACAGTGCCAGATTGTGCCGGGGACGTGGCGGCCATTTTTTCGCCTGTCTGAGATGCGCAGGAGGATGCCTCTGTGCACTCTCCTCTTACCCTTGTCTCCTGCCATGTCTGTGCCGCCGCCGCTCTCGGCTCCAGGCGAGGGTGGGCGGGATTCTTTCTGCCAGCAAGCTGGCAGTTGCCAGCCAGATTGCGCCGGGGGGTACAATCGCCGTGGAGAGGACAGAAGGTGTCTTCAACATCGTCGAGATCGATATTCAAGAATATCACCCACGTCTGACGACGATTATTACGACGTAGACCTCATGAGGGAACTCTACTATTCAGAGAGGCGGAGGCGGTGCGAGGAGGAGGGGGAGGAGGGGTATAAGGACAGGATGAGGATGACAGACGAGGTATGCGCGAACGACTTGGCTGTGTGCTCCGTCCAACCCCCATTCCTCCGACAAACCGTCGTTACGAACCATCCCTTCCATTGCATGAAACGCCATCTTGAAAGACTAGCACCGTACCCGCCTGGAGTTCAGGCGAGCTCCCCGTTTCCAAACGAGACTGCATGTGCTATTCTAAGCTGTCATAGGGCATGCGGCATGATATTCTACAGTTCTATGGAATGTCCAGTGGGGTCCCCGTTTAGAACAGTTGTTGTGCATGGTGGCTCGTCTGGTCATGAACTTCGAGGACGTCCCAAGCGAGGGGCCCATTTTGAAAAAGGGGACCGCCTTCCATCCCTGCAGCAGGTATACAAATATAGATATACATGTTCAAGCCTCTTGGTCGCTGGTGCAAGCTGTCCAGACAACTATACGCCTCGCTAAGGCGAGGTTCCCATTGTGGAAAAGAAGCCCTCCACCTTGTATCTGTTGCGCACTTGTAACACGAACGTGTGAGGTGCTGAGGGGAGAGTCCCGTTTCGCAAGCTGCTCCGCCGTCACAAATGTAAATGTTGCAATCTTTCAATGCGAACGTGCACGACGCCAAGGCGATATCCCCGTTTTTTAAACAACCCGCACTCAATCCGTGTAGGTTTTGGAGAGTTCGAGCTTCGGGAACATACGTCGTGAGTAAGTTTCAGACGAAACGCCATGTCCGCTTTAACGGCACGTCTGGTGGTCAGACGAAGAGGAGTTCTTCATACAGACATTGGGTGAGGAGGAGGCGGAGGACGGGTGGGAATGGTTCATCCCTTCGAGGTTCACCAACAATTCGACGTACCCGATACCCTTACATAGCGAGAACCTGTGGGGGTAGAACGGAAAAGGCCTGTCATGGGCAGCTTGCTGGACCGAGGAAGGGCCCAGGGGCGAGGGAGCAATGAAAGCAACTGTGGCGAGGGAGTGAAGGTGTTTTTTTTAAGTTAATGTGCATTAGTTGTGTGCGTTGTTGCAGAGCTCTGCGCGTGTACAGACCCGATCCCCCCCCCTCGCGTTGCGCGTGAATCTGAGCCTTTGTCTTGGTGCTTGGGCAGGAAAGGTGCTCTTGCCACCCTCTAGCCCATTCTCAAAGACCCTTCCTCCTCCTCCTCCTCCCCTTTCCCCGTTGCTTTTCAACTTTCCTCTCGTTTTTGCATCCTTCCCCTTGCTCATCCTTGCCCTCCCCGGTTCCTCCTCCCCCTTCCTTTTCTTTCTCTTTCGCACCCTTCCCCTGGCTCCTGAATCTCCTTCCTCTCTGGCCTTATCCGCCCCCTTCCTCGTCCTTCTCCCCCCTCCTCCCCCCTCCTCATCCTCGTCCCCCTTCGGCCACCCTCCCCTTCCTCCTCATTCTCCTCCGAGTCCCCCTTCCTCCTCCTTCTCCTTCTTCGTTCTCGAGTGGCATGTTTAACCCAGGCTGACGATGAACTTCCCTTGGTCATAAGGTTGCAAGGCTCCTCTTTCCACTTGCTCTTTCCCCATCTCCCTTCCAGTCCTGCTCCGCCCTCTTTCCCGCCCCGCTCTTGCAGGAATTGGCGAGAACATCGCAGCCGCCGAGGCCATAAAGATGAACGGCTCATGAGGAAACATCTCGCCCAACACGGGAGGCTCTGCCCAGCGAGGTCGATGCACGTGTAGCGGCGTGCGCACGTGGTGCCACGAACTGGCCAGGGCCTCGGCTGCTGGCGCTGGGCACGGCCCTTCTGGGCGCGCAGGGGGCGCGAGGTGCCGCGTGCCTCGTGGGCAGAGGCGTCGGGGCCCACGACCGGGGAGTGGGCGCCGGCACACTGCAGCCTGAGACAGCAGCTTATCCGCGGTGTGTGCTGGCATTGTGGTGCGGTGTGCCGAGCTGGGGCGGCAAGGTGCCGGGCGAACCAAATCAGGCCGCTGAGGTCGCTCGTCGGTGCCGCGTGCTTGCCCTCGTGTTGGTCGACACGCACGCACACGCACACACCGGGCGCGACCTGGTCAGATAGTTAGGTCTCTGCAGGCGCACGGCATGTTGACCAGCCGTGTTCCTTCACCATCTTCGAGGAAAGTGCCAGGAAGCCTGTACAATGGGCAGCCGATTACGCAGTTACTTCATCAGACGGGGTATTGGAGTCCAGTTTCTACAGGTCGCGGCGCGCCATCAAGAGGGATTCTCCACAGAGCCTCGGCGGCCAACTTGCAGGAATCGCGCGAGTTCTGCGCCGCAGGATCTTCCGTCGTGGTGCGGCGCGTGCGCGGCCCGCTCAGTTGCGCCTAGAGGCCGGGGTGCCCCGTCAAAGAGCGCGATACGGATAGACATGTTTTCGGCGCCCATCCCGTGCGTGTCGCCTGGGTGGCGAGGGCGATGGGGCGCCAGTTTTCTACAATGGGGGCCTGTCTCCCTTGGGCCATGATTGCTGGCATTGCTGACGCCGTCCTCCGCCTCCTCTTCTTCCCTCTATTCCCCTGCGGTTGCCCAGTATGCGCGCTATTGTCCCCTCCTCCTCTTCTTCTTTTTCCTCCTCCTCACAATGTGCAGTGGTGCCTGACAAGGGCTTTTCACATTCGGAGTGTTTGTGATCATTCCAACATGGTGCTCCCGCTGCAGCGTGGGCCGGCATTTCGGGATCGGTGTTTTGCCCCCGTCGTTCAGACTTGCGCCCGCGCCCCAGAGCGAGACCCCATGTCCCTCGTGTTTCTTTGCCTCCTGCTCCTCTTGCCCCCTGTCTTCGTCGTCCAACTCCTCCTCCTAATTATCGGGCTCGTCGCCCTCCTCTTTCTCCTCCTCCCCCTCCTTCTCCTCCTGATCCTCCTCTGCCCCTCCTGCCCCTCCCCCTCCCCCTCCTCCTCCTCCTCCTCCTCCTCCTCCTCCTCCTCCTCCTCCTCCTCCTCCTCCTCCTCCTCCTGCTCCTCTGCTTTTTGATGACGCCTCGCCCCCTTCCCTGCTTTCTCCTCTCTCTGCCCCCCCCTCGCATTGCGCACCGCTGCCCCCACGACCGTCGATCGAGGGCGGCGCAGGGGTTCTGCCCGGGTGGCGGCAGACACGCGACACCACTAACAGCAGCACATTGGGGGGAATGAGCGAGGATTGATCTAGGTCTTGGATGTTTTCGCTGGCCCCGTTTGGGCTTCCCGAGGGCCCCCAAAGCATCCTCCCTTCATCCTCCTGCACCAATGAGGAGGAGGGATGGCTATGAAGGGAGGGGGAGGAGGAGGAGGGGCATGATGATGATAATGATGATGCTGCTGCTGATGATGATGATGAGGAGGAGGAGGAGGAGAAGGAGGAGGAGGAGGAGGAGGAGGGAGGAGTAAATCAAGGATGGAGAGAGGAATGAAGAACCGACGAAGAGGGGGATTTGAGTTAGGAGGAAGGTCGCTGAGTGAAGAGTTATGGTGTTGCTAATCGTGACGATGAAGATGATGGCGACGACGTTCATGGTGCTAATGCATCTGATTCTGTTCAGGCCGATGATGAGGGGGGATATAATGAAGAGGATGAGTCGTACTATAGTTATGCGGAGGAGTAGGGATGGGGATGGGGATGGGGATGAGGATTATGGTGATGATGGTGATGATGATGAGGATGATGCTGATGCTGATTCTGATGCTGATGCCGATGCTGATGATAATGATGATGAGGAGGCGGAGGAGGAGGATGAGGAGGAGGCGGAGGAGGAGGATGAAGAGGAGGAGGAGGAGGAGGAGGATGGTGTCAAGGATGGAGGGAGGGAAGAGGGATGCGGAGGATGATGACGAGGTGGAGGAGGACGAGGGGGAGGAAGAGGAGGAAGAAGAGAACGGGGATTCGAACGAGGAGGATGAGGTGAAGGGATGAGGCTGCTGCTGAGGATGATGATGATGATGATGATGATGATGATGATGATGATGATGATGATGACGGTACTGATGCTGACGATGACGATGACGATGATGATGATGATCATGACGATGCCGATGATGATGCTCATGCTGATGATGGTAATGGTGAGGAGACTGATTCAGATGATGCTCATGCTGATGATGCTGATGCAAACTATGATTATGATGCTGCTGATGACGATGATGCTGACAATGATGACGATGATGCTGATGATGCTGATGATGATGGTCAGGATGCTGCTGATGATGATGCTGATGCTGTTGATGATGCTGCTGATGACGATGCTGCTGATGATGTTATTGATGGTGATGATGACGATGCTGATTCTGCTGATGATGCTGATGAAGATGGTGCTGCTGATGAGGATGCTGCTTGTGATGATGACGATGATACTGATGATGCTGATGACGCTGATGATGCTGGTGACGCTGACGATGATGATGATGATGATGATGATGATGATGATGATGATGATGATGATGATGCCGATGCCGATGCCGCTGATGATGAGGCTGATGATTCTGATGATGTTCATGCTGTTGATGATGCTGCTGATGATGCTGTTGCTAGCGCCGATGATGGCGCAAATGCTGTTGTTGACGATGGTGATGATGCTGATGATGACGATGCGGATGCTGCTGCTGATGATGATGATGATGATGATGCTGGTGCTGATGATGATGCTGATGTTGATGCTACAGGTGATGCTGATGACGATGATGATGACGCTACATATGATTATTATG